GAATAGAAATATATATTTTTTAAATCTTTTTTTTCCTTAAAAAAATCTTTCACTTGCTTTGAGTTAATGGAATTTTCTTCATCTCATTCTAGATTTATTTTATTTATTAATTTGACAGACAGCGAGAGAGGGAACACAAGCAGAGGGAGTGGGAGAAGGAGAAGCAGGCTTTCCGCGAGCAGGGAGCCCGATGCGGGGCTCCATCCCAGGACCCCGGGACCACGACCGAAGCTGAAGGCAGACACTCAATGACTGAGCCCCCCAGGAGCCCCTATTTTTTTTTTAAACCATTCCTTGTAGCGCTAACCAAACCCAGAAAGTGTACACTCAGAATGGCGGAGGCTTTGGGTGTGCACACGCTTGCAGGGTGCACGAAGGTCAGGCCTGTGGTGTGGGTGCAGGTCGCCTGAGGCCCTCTGTGTGGGGTCGGACCGTGCGCCACCTGTAAGGAGCTGGTGAGGCCCCGAGGGTGTGTGTGCAGGCTTGGGTTTGTCCTCTGTGTGTCCTCTTCCCCCACCTCTCCTGTGAGTGCTGTACCCACAGACACTGGGGGGTCCGCAGGTCCCCGCCGTCCTCGTGTCTCCCACACCCTGCCCAGCCTGGCACCTGCAGATGGGCAGGCATATGTCTCAGGTCCTGAGCAGCATCTGGTTGGCAGCCATGCCCTGGGGACAGCCTGTCCTGCTCCTGTGAACCCCGGCCCGTGTCTGTCTCGTGCCTCCAGCAGCCCCACACCTGAGCTCAGTGCTTCACCGGCCAGGCTCCTGTGGGCCGGGGCCTCCGTCTGTCTGTCGGTGGAAGGGCCAGTGCCTGGCCTGCAGGACCGGCCGGCCTTGCTGGTGCGGGGCGGGTCTGTGGTCCCTGCTGCCCAGCTGTGTCCCCGGTCTGAAGTGCGGCTTTCACCCTGGTTCGGCCAGTCATGGTGTGGGCACGGGTTTTCACGTTGTGGAAGCTTCGTTTCCTCAGTGTGAGCGGATGTGGAGTGAGTCTGTCGCAGTGGAGAGCGACGCCCCGATCTGGAAGGGTGGTGGCAGACAGGAGCTGCTCCGTATGCGTCTGTCCCTCAGTTTCTCTGCCGGGAGAAGGCTTTGTGGACCAGGCCGCACTGCACGTACTGCATCCGGAGCTTTTGTGGGCACCTCAGTGCCGTTTGTGTGCACTTGGGGCCTGGCATCTGCCTTCGGGTGTCAGACATGCGTCCTTGCTAACAGAGCACAGGAGAAAGTGCGCTAGCCAGCTGCGTGTACCGCGTTTGGTGGGCCTTTCCTACCAAAGTGACGGTCAGTCTCTGGAACTCGCCCTGGTTGAAGGTGTCTGAGCCTCCTGAGTGTGGCTGGCGGGTCACATGGCACCTGGGGCTCTTCATTGCCTCCTTGTCCCTGCAGGGTCCGTGAGGCCGCCATGACCAGTCTGATGGACCTGACGCTCCTGCTGGGGAGGAAGCAGCCAGAGCTGATCGAGGCCAGTGTGTGAGTGCCTCCTGTGTGGGGGTCTGGTCCAGTCGGTGGGAGGACGCCAGCACTGGGGGTGAGGCCGGGGTCTCTCTGTCCAGTCTGCTCTCGCTGCCGGGGCCTCCCTTCCCTCCCTCCTACCTTCAGTTCCTTCCTGTGTCCCCTTCCCCCCGTCACCCAGCCCACCCCATCTGTCTGCACTGCTTCTACCCCAGACCTGGTGCTCAGGCCTCTGAGGGCTCAGGTTCACTGTGGCTGCGTCCCGTCCACCCTGTGGCTGGAGTGGATGCCGGTGCTCGCGGGGCTGCTCTGGCTGGTGCCCTGGGTTCAAGCTGGGCTAATGGCCTCGCTCTTGGTTCGCAGCTGTCAGCAAGTCATGTGTCATGTGGCCCAGCAGGCGAGTGAGAAGATTGACCGGATCCGCGCGCACGCCGCCCGCGTCTTCATGGCTCTGCTGCACTCTCACGGCTCTCCCGTCCCACACGTGCCCCACCGAGGAGAGCTGGAAAAGCTCTTCCCCAGGTACGGGAGGCCGGGGTCCCCGACCCCCGGCGGGCGCTGGCCCCCCTCCAGCTTGTTGGCTCACTCTCTGCAGATCCGACATGGCCTCCGTGAACTGGAATGCGCCGTCTCAGGCCTTCCCTCGCATCACCCAGCTCCTGGGGCTGCCCACCTACCGCTACCATGTCCTGCTGGGGCTGGCCGTGTCCGTGGGCGGCTTGACCGAGTCGACGGTGAGGAGGCCTCTTCCCAGGCCCATGGTGGTGGGTGGCACCTGGCCCAGGGCTGGGGCGGTGTGGGAGGTCTGAGTGGGACAGCCAGAGGCTGAGAGGCACATGCTGGGAGGGCAGCTTGGTCCTCGTTGTGCTGGTCTTTTCTCTGCTTTGGGGGTCAAAGTGGGGTCAAGGGTCCGCCCCTTCCCCTGGCCTTGGGTTTCCAGGGCAGGACCCCCAAGGACCGTGTTACCTCTGCTGAGAGTGGGCTGGCGTTCCCAGTGGGAAGCTCAGTGGCAGGACTATTTAGGAGAACCTGAAGCACACAGAACTACGAGGAAAGTTGTGGCGAGCTTCTGTGTGGACGGCGTCCCGCTGCACATGGCACAGGGCAGCCTGGTTCTCCTGTGAGCGTTGGGCTCGGCGGCCCGCTTGGACCTCACTTACCAGCTGCTGCTTCGCCCTCTTTGCTTCTCTTTCCTCCTCTTTGTGCCGTCATTTTCTGGATAAGTCTGGTCTGTTGTGTGTGTTCCGTTTTCTCGTGTCCTTTCTGCTGGCGTAGGGGCCACATGTCCTTTTCCCTTGGACCCGGGACCAGTGTCGTGTGCACCCAACTTTGGAGCCATTGGGGGGTGTCCTGCTCCCCTGTGCGGTCACACGTGGGTTTCCGTGGGGACGGCGGATGCGTTTTCACTCCCCTGCCCTTGGGCGCCGGTGTCGCCAGAGCAAGAGCCCTGTCTGGTGGGGCTGCTGCTCCTGGTTCGGCTGTGGGGATGCCCCCCTCATCCCTCGCCTGGCGCTCGGCAGCTGCCCTCTGACGCTGCAGACTGTGACCTGCTGGGATCTGTGGTCTGTGTTCTCTTCTGGAAACTTCTCTGCCCTCCTCGTTCTCGTTCAGGATCTCCTCCTCCCGTATACCCCTTATGATCCCCACGTGTCCACCTGTGCTCCGCCCTCCCTGGTTTTCAGTCTTCTTCTCCAGGTACTATTTTGTTTTGCAGCTTTGTACAATCTGCTGTTTGTTCCCTCCCCATGCTGAATTTTTGGTTTCCATAATTCTGTTTTTTATTACCAAAGGTTCACTTTGTTTTGAAATCTCTCTTGTGCTTTTTCACTGCAGGCTTATCTGGGTTTTGTTTTTTGTGTTTTTTGTTTGTTTTTAAGAGAGCGCGTGGGGGGGAGGGGCAGAGGGAGAGAGAATCTCAAGCAGACTCCCCACTGAGTGCAGAGCCTGACGATCTCACGACCCTGAGATCATGACCTGAGCCGAAATCAAGAGGCCGACGCTCAACCGACTGCACCACCCGGGCGCGCCCCACAGGCTCATCTTTGTCGTCGCATTTTCCCCAAGAATTAACCTGCAGTGCTCTCCCGTGTGCCGTGTCTTGTAATTCTCGTACCTGTGCTCTTGGGTGGGAGGGGGTCTGTCGGCTCACTTCCTCCTGTTGACTCGTTCCTGATCACTCCCCGTCCTGGGTCTGTGGCATGGAGGCAGGCGACTCTGGTCTGGGGCCCTGTAGGCAGCTGTGGTAGCGGGTTTCTTCGGTGCCCCCCCAGCTGCTGGAGTCCTGCCGCCCCCACCGCCAGCCGTGTCCACGTCCATGCGGTCACTGCATCGATTGCTTCTGCTCATCTGTTGGGGTCTGTGGGGAGGTTCTCTGAGCCCAGCAGTGCCTTGGGGGCTACAGGTTGAGTTTGGAACGGAAGGTGTCGGAGCATCTGGTCCCCTGACCTCCTTCTCGGGGAGACTGCAGCCTCCACTGAGGTCAACTTTTAGGGGTCGTTGTGGTGTTCGGTCTGCACTGCTGCCCCAGGAGGAGCATTTCTGGTCAGTGCTCCTTCCATGTCTCTGTGCTTGTGTCCCATCTGGCAGGACGTTGCCAAGATCCCCACGCTGTGTTGGTCTGTCTCCTCGGCTCCATCGTGGATGTTGGAGTGGAACCATCGTGGTGGCCTCTGGGGCAGGTGGCGAGGGGGTGGTGGTCTCGTCACCGTTACCAGAGTGCATCTCTGTGTTGCAGGTCAGGTACTCAACACAGAGCCTCTTTGAGTACATGAAGGGGATTCAGAATGACCCACAGGCTCTGGAGGGCTTCGGGGGGACCCTCCTGCAGGTCTTTGAGGACAACCTTCTGAATGACAGGTAAGGGGTGGTGCCTTCGTCACGGTTTTCAGACCCCCGCGGTCTCACTTGTACTCACCAGGATTTGCAAGGGGGCGGTGAGATAGCCCAGGTGGGGACCTGACTGCAGCCAGGCCAGGGAGTGCCCACGGCTCACGGCGTTCCACCAGCCACATCACCATCGTGGAGCTGCCACCAGCCTGCCCTGTGGGTCAGCCAAATTAGGACTTTAAAGATGACCGAGGCGATGAGCCTGGGAGGGTACACGTGGCTCTTCCCCGAGGTGACATCTCCTTGGTCTGTGCATGGACACATCCACTGTGTGTCAAGATCTCTGCAGGCCAGGATTGGAATGTTGCAGCAAGAAATAGGCCTTGTTTTCTGAGCATCTTTGCTGTATTGTTTTTGCTAATTGCTTTTCCATGAAGGCAGCGTGTAGAGCCCTTGGGCCCTGACCTTGGAATTGGGAGTGTTTCCCAAAGTGCTCTGAGAGGGTTGTTCTTGGACTTGGTTCTCAACTGTCCTGGGTAGCTGGGCCCCGGTCACAACAGCGTGGATGCAGGCCCTTGTTGGCCTGTCCTGTCCGTGGGAAGCAAATGGGAGCTCAGCTGATGGTCTTTTCTCTTTTCCTGGATGGCACTGAGTGTGAGTAAAGGGTGCAGTTCGGTAGACTTTCACTCTGTTGGCATCCCTGTAACTGTCACCAGTCAGGACACTGAACACACCGTCACCCCTTCCAGCGCCCAGCCCTAGGCAACCACTCGCTGATCTGCTTTTTGTCACTGGGGTTCAGTGGGCATTTTCTGTGAGTGTATTTCAGTGGAATCTGCGATGTGTCTGGCTTCCATTGTGCGGTCAGACCACACTTGGTTCCTCTGTTGACGGTCGCCAGGGTTGTTTGTGGCCGGAGTTATAAAGAAAGCTGCGAGGGACATTTGCAGACATGTCTGTGTGGACATGTCCCCACTTTGGTGCTGAGGAGCAGGCTAGCTGGGCTGCATGGCAGGTGGATGTTCAACTTCTACAAACTTGCCACACTGTTTTGCAAAGCGGTCACACTGTTTTATACCCTGCTGGGGCGTCTTGAGGGTCCAGGCGCGGTCTGTGTGTTCCGACCACTGTGGCCTCTCCTTTTGGCTTCGGGGCTTCCCTCCTGCCTGGCGTGGATTTCCTCCCCAATGAGGGTCTGTTCAGACCTCCCGCCTATTTTTTAGTTGGGTAGTCGTGGTTTCCCGTCCTGCTGAGTTTTGAGATTTCTCGTGTGAGCTGCACAAACCCTTTGTCAGACAGTGGCCTGCAGACACCGCCTTCCAGGTGGTGACCTGTCCTTCACGCGCTTGGCGGACTCTGAGCGGGTGCCTCCATGTGCACGTGCTCCGGCTCCTCCCCCTGGTTTTTATGGGTGTGTTTGTTGTGTCAGAGTGAAGAGTCTTGGCCTGACTCAGGGTCACCAAGGTTTTCTCTTGATGTTTTCTAGAAGATCTATAGTATTAGGTTTTTTGTTTTTTTTTTTTTTTAAGATTTTATTTATTTATCTGAGAGAGAGAATGGGAGACAGAGAGCATGAGAGGGGAAGGGTTAGAGGGAGAAGCAGACCCCCCGCTGAGCAGGGAGCCCGATGTGGGACTCGATCCCGAGACTCCAGAATCATGACCTGAGCCGAAGGCAGTTGCTTAACCAACTGAGCCACCCAGGCGCCCCACCCCCCCCTTTTTTAACTTGATAGAATACATTTAAAGTTCATGTTCAGGGCAAATCTCCAAGAAAATTATTTTTTAAAATATTGAGAACTTGGGGGCGCCTGGGTGGTCATCGGTGAAGCATCTGCCTTCGGCTCAGGTCATGATCTCAGGGTCTTGGGATCGAGCCCCATGGGGGGGGCTCCCTGCTCAGCGGGGAGCCTGCTTCTCCCTCTTCCTCTGTCCCTCCCCCCTGCTCGTGCTTTCTCTCTTTCTCTCAAATAAATAAAATCTTAAAAAATAAAATATTGAGGACTTGGATTTTCCAGTCCTTAAAACATACTGTAAAACCACTCAAAGCAGAGTGGCATTTTCTTAGGAGCGGGCAAACAGGCAGGTAGAGCAGAAGACAGGATCAGAAGTAGATGCCGATGTAATGACACGAGTGAGATTTGATATGTGACACAGAGGTACTTCCAACGTTGGTGTGGAAGGTGGCTTATTGAGGGATGATGATGTCACCAAGGGCTGTGTGAAAGAAAAGAAAATCATGTCCTCACCTCATATATCCAGAACTAAATTTCTTTTTTTAAAGATTTTATTTATTTGACAGAGAGAGATACAGAGAGAGAGGGAACACAAGCAG